CCTACGTATTCAGTGACAAATTTAGCCCTCCCACCTTCTGAAGGTCCCTACTTTCGTCTAAGAACACGCATCGTTAGATTCCGTAATGACTGCCTAAATTTGCCGAATATGTGGTGCCGATTTATGTTTTCTTTCATTGTTGATCATTGCCTAGTGACGTTGTGTATTAGGACTCTCCAATGGTCCTGCTAGTTCACCTGTTGCAAATGCCGAGCGGTCATCATAGGAATTAACCTACATCGCTTCAACCGGTAATCTTAGGCGACTTGTTTTTGTCTTTTGTCAACCAGCAAATGAGATGATCGGTTCACCAGTCTACTTTCTTACCACAACAGACAATTGCTGCAGCCGAAATCAAACTGCATGTCGAACCGGATTGTAACAAATTTTGCAAATAGGATTTACGATCCTCGCAAGAGTGGAGTGATAAAAGTGTACAGTGTGTTGAAATTCCGAAGGTTTTTCCCCAACTTCTGCATACAAATGCATTTAGACGGAGTTGTCCCACCATTAAGGTTGGAACGTGCCGCATGAAGAGGTTCAAGACGTAAAGATGGGGCAGAATGTTCATGTGACGATTCTGCTTGAAGGATGTGTGTACTCGCATTTACACTGAGAACGACAAGGGCTAATAGAAACATCAGTTACATTTCCCATTTGGGGGTGAGGTCAAAATGCTTGGTGGTTAATTGGCAAAACAGAATTTTCCCACCACCTTCCAAGATTCAAGTGAACAAGCACGTGTCATCACCTGGATTGGAAGAACAAGTTTGATCCAATTACCTGTGAGATTCAGCCCGAAACAGTTAATCTGCTTTTTGGTAGTTCTCAGTGCTTGGCTTTCTGAATAGCTGGTGATTTTTATTGCCTGCTGTTAGCATAAAGAGATTTTGAAATGATGGCTGCGAGCTTGATATGTAATAATAACTGACACGCCAATATTTTGTTTGCTCGAAGATTTTGGGATTAATGGAGATTTCATCTTGCAAGTAAAGCAATCTCTGCGGCGATAGCTTTTATTATTCGATTAGTTCAATGTAAAAAACCTATTCTGTTTAAGATTTCTGCTATAATGGAGATTTCACCTTGCAAGTAAAGCAGTCTCTGCGGCGATAACTTTTATTATTCGATTAGTTCAATGTGAAAAACCTATTCTGTTTAAGATTTCTGCTAGAATTGTGGCGGTACGATGTTGTCCCTATGGTTAATCTTAACAAATTTGGGTAGATGTCCTTTTTAGGTACTCAAGTTACATATACATTTCCGGAGGAGGAGCGCCTTAGATTACTGTTTGTGGGAAACAGGTTAAGTTAATTTCCAGATGCTTAGTATAAACTACAAGACGTAAGTCAATCGAAGTTGGGGTCGAAACAACGTACTGATCGCTAATATAGGTAGAGTGGAGGCGTATTATATTACAGATTGTCCATCCACAGTGGTGGGCCCTGTAAAACGAAACCTTGTGGTTGAAAAACCCAGGTTCCCATAGATTTGGTAACAGCGGGGGCAAATTTGTGCACCACTAGTATATACCTTGGATGGCTACAGTATCTCGCCCCAGAAACTAAGTAAGAAAAACCTAAAAGTAGGATGCATTAGTACCTTTGGAGTAGTTGTGAACTCTATGATAGCTTACCATAGGCTTTGACATTCCGTGGACCCATCAGATTGATACGGTCCCCGAGTTGGTATTGAGAATTAAGTCGTACGTAGTTGACGTTGCAAATTACAGGATGCTATAGATCATAAATTTATTTGAGTTACTCGTCACAACCACAGCTATTTGTAGATGAGCGTGGTAAGTCAAGGCATACCAATATTCAGTAACGGTATTCTGGATACTAAAGTCCGGCAGTCAGGATAATGGGACTTTGCCATCTAACACTAGCAAAACTTTGAAGTGCTATTTGTGGGCAAGCCAGAGCTAAAAAACTTCCTGAATCAGGCTTTGTGAGAAGATTATAGCACTCTTCAGTCACCTGATTGATCTACCTGGTGAAAGTACCCCCAATACATGGGAAAATTTAACAGTTATTGGGTTTTCGATCTTTACATCAGCTTTTTAGCCATTGTTTCACGAACGAGCAAAATTACTTAAAATTGTAGCGTAGCTGACTATGAAGCGTTCCTTTATATAAGAACTTATGATGAATTTTAACAGCCAGTTGTTACTCTCACTTGAGTTGCTTCTGGGTTACCAGTGATGCACGTCAAATCGTTTTTTTCCTCCTCACTTTCCGGCAGACAATTTCCAATTAATGTGATTTTCTGACTCACTTCTAACCAAAACCTATAGAATGATGGGAAAAACTTTTCTTCACTTGGGCGTAAAATTAGAAAACCGAGTAGGTTGTTTCCGAAAAAGGTGAGGAGCTTTGAAACTATACACAGTATTACAACAAAAAACGAAGGACGAGAAATTTATTCTGTGCAGCTGAAAATGACTGGCGCATTAGCTTGATTAATATCTCCCCTAATCTGAATAAAAGTGTTCAACTAGCCTGAAAAGCTGCTGAAATACACTCACTTGCATACCAACTTGGTTTTAAAGAGAGCTGAATTTCAGCTGAATCTCTTGTAAAAACCAAATTGCCCGGGAGTGTAGTCAACAAATTTTACACAGTCCGGGTTTAAGTAGAACATACGGTTAGCGGAAACTCGAGGTTATGCCTGCCTGATGAACCCGAATAATTGCGCACGGGAGTGTAGTCAACGGATTTCACACAATCCGGGTTTAAGAAGAGCCTACGGTTGGCAGAAACTCGGGGTTATGCCTGCCTGATGAACCCGAATAATGGCGAAAGCAGTTGCGCGCTGTTGAAAAGTTTTTAGGAATCTTATAAGTAGCGTTTCTTCGAGAATTGTCTGTGGGTCATTACACTGAACTTGTGGGCAAGTATGTGTGTGGTACGAAGTGACGCTGGCTCATGAGACAAACACGAATGGTCAGTGAGAAGTTTGGAGAGGCGATACAAAAAAACGCCTCGTCCTGTGATCAGATGCTGCCTGTGAGTTTGTACGTCTTTCTGATAGCTGCTTTGTAGTAGAGAAGAATAGCTAAAAATTTTGGCCATTTCGGCAATGTATCCAGAAATAAGAAGCTGTAGAACCAAAACATGAAGTCGATATGCCACCATAACCTATATGAACAAACGTATATTATCATATAGGAAAACAAACCGTACCACTAGAAAGTGGAATTATGATTGCTCAGTGTACATATGTGAAAGCAGTGGAATCGCTACGAAACGCGTTACAGCAGCTGTTTTCATCGTTCAACATTCTTATTCTTCTTCTGACCACCAAATCACGTTGAATAACTAACTCAGGCAACACTGTTCATTTACAGTGACCAGCGCTCTACAGTGAACGATGGTGGTAGTTGTTACTCTGTGCCTGCTGCGCCACCTAAAGAATGAGTTCCTGTTCTGCAGATCCCAATAACTAGAGCGAAATGGTGTCCACCCAGTCGGTGGAGGGAAGCTGAAGTCCATTACGGTATATCTTTGCTTCAAAGAGAAGAATTGACTGTAACGCGCTGTCCGCAGTGAAACCTGTCGGCGGTTCTTACAAGGACCGCAAGGACGATAAGGATCACCCGGACTATTAAGAGGAACAGTTAGAATAATATTCCAGTTGATGGTGTCAAAGCCTACGTTTCCGTTGTTTGCAGTATCAACTTTAGTACACACGCGCTTGCCCTTCTAAATGTTGACCCCCTCTGCTGCGAAACACCTTTACTATTTACGGTCCTGAGTAGTCACTGAGTAAAACGTCACTGAAACTGGCGTGGGCCAAACAAAATGCCCAAGCAGTGACTACGACATGGTTTATTTTCAGTCATATTAAACAGCGTTTTTTGTGTTTCTACCTCAAAGTTCTCACACTGTTTAATCCCGTCACTGAATGCACTCGCATACAGAACAGGCAACAACAGGCTTAGGGATGATCTTACAGCTTAGTTGACAAGAAATCTTTAAACAGTATTAGAAGTGTTACCAATTGGTTGGGTTTTCCTGCTCACGAAAGATCAGTAGCGTCATGCATAGAGTGGAATGAACGTTTTTCACAAACGGACTCTGGTTGGTAGGGAGCGCCTGATTCTAGTTACTATTTTGAGATAGGGATGGAAGTGAACCCGACATTAATCACGCATCTTGCGTCTCGTGATAAATGTTATTTCGCGCGAGCCTCATATGGCTTTCCTCTACAGGCAGTGCATCGAGTGTAGATGAACTCTCGGAGTCGGACGTTTATAATCACAGCCTGCATTCTGTCAACATTGGACGTGAAAGAGGTCATTAAAGAATGACTTTTGATATATGTTACACTGTTTATTCCCACCCAATACTACCACCAAGGGAGAGAGATGTACAGCCGAACATGCATACTTGTTCAGCTCCCGCATTTTAGCTCAGCGATACAAGGAAGCGCATTTTTTCCAAAAGCAAGGGAGTTGGGTGGGTGGTCTGGGATGGAGAGTTCTAATCTGTATAACATGGGTAATGTCAAAATATCTAATTTAATTTGGTCGGTCCCCAAAGAACCATTTGAGTTGTGGTACTGTGACCTACGGTAGACGGGTGACCGGGGAGTAATGCCCACAATTTCGCTTCTGACCAAATTTCCCTGGGTTGACCGAAGTGTCTGACACTCGAATTCTGTTCCTAACCGAGTAATTTCAAAATACTGGTCGAGGGGAGACGGGGGATATTGGAAACCCCGAATGTGTATTCGGGTACGCATAATGCAGACGGAAAGACGTAGTTCTTGAACGGGACCCGGACTCGCGACATTTAGCTTACCTGAAAAATTGCGCTGCCAACTAAGCTGTGTCCCACGTTACATGCAGGAACTTGAGTTCAAGAGTTAGTCACCATACCGCCCTCTAATGGACCAATCGCCTCTGAGTATCTAGGCGATGTCAACATCCGACCCATTGTGGATGTCCTACGAAGGGCTAACTAATAGCACTGCAGGTATTAACTATTGATTTATTAGGTTGAAGTATGTCGATTGATTGCGTAACTGAAGGGCACAAGTTTGACGTAAGACTGCGCTTGCGATAGTTCATTTGGCAGGCCACTCATCCCGTTAGCAAGTGGTCGCGGGTTGGACTCCTCTTTTTCCCTTGGTGTGGTGTATTTGGGTCCATATATAAGATTTAGAACTAATCTAAAAAACAGCCACTGTTGGTCGACACCCGAATGCCGTGGTAGTAAAAGAATCCTAATTTTTCATGTAACTCAGTGATCTGAAAAGACATCGTTCACCAGCCACAAGATAATCGGTTGCAATTTTATTATCTGGGACGGGAAACTTTACAGAAGGAAGTGACATGGTGGTAATAATGAGTATGCTGTATGTATCTAACGTTTGTGTAGAAAACCGGCTATCGAGCTGTAGCAAGCCTTGGGACGGGAAGTGACACGGTGGTAACAATGAGTATGCTGTATGTATCTAACCTTTGTGCAGAAAACCGGCTATCGAGCTGTAGCAAGCCACATTCCTGTAGTGCTTTTGGAATGCCTTAAGATGAAAGTAGACTCTCATGGAAACAACTTAATTAGGGTTGACTGGAGATCAACCCGGGTATCAATTTGGAACAGAAACGACTATGCACTGCGGACTACAATTATCGAGGCCGCAAATGGAACAAGGCAACGTACAAGCGCTTCGAAGTAAGCAATTCTTCAACGAGTCAGTTCATTTCGTTGAAATACTTGAAGACACATTCCTTATGCGGCTATCTCTCACCAAAGTGCGGCTCCGGCAGAATAAAGAAACTTGTAGTCCGTTTAGTGATAAGTTATGCTGCTCTAATAACGTACACATGGGCAAGACGCTTTGTCTCCTCTGCACCATAAACCAGCCCAAAAGGATTTGGAACGAACTTCATCCTATGTCGTTGGAACACGCTAGTCACAAAGACGCTTTTCGATAGCTCATGGTTGGTACCATCCACCTTGGGGTTCATCAGGTAGATGTACTAGTTGAATTTTCGTCAACAGTCCTCTTAGATGTGTGTGGATCCACATGAATTCTAAAAGCACAACTTTTGTTGCACTTCGCTCCTAAAGGGACTCCAGGCTGACCTTTTCGACTGGCATATATGCAACATTTTTGTTTTCTCACAAACTGAAACACTGCAGTTTTTACAAGCGTAAATCTTCATCCACATTAGTATATCAAAATGGAGGAAAAATAACTGCAGCTGGGTACCACATAGCAAGAACATGTTTGAACTTAGATTACACGCGGTCAATAATATCTGTTGAGCAGGTCTCTTTGGGAAGGCCAAAATTATCTCTGAGCAAATGACGCACAGGGAGAGTTACCCTACATGAATAATTTTGAAAAAAGACGCATAGACGCAGGAGTTCATACATGTTTATGACATTGCCGACAAGTCATTTTAGCTCGTGATTCATTGTGGACATCGTATATACTAAGTATTTTGCCAGAAAGGCTTGCCGCAACAACTAGACGGCGTGAACGATAACAATCTGCTGGCCAATCGTCTAATTTACTTAACAGCACTTCTCACCATCCAGTTGACTAAAAATGTTTGATTCATGTTGCTGTTCGTATCTTATAACTTTTGTGGCTGTAACGCAAGCAGAAGTGTAGCAAAAACACAGAAAAGTATGAGGGTTGTATAAGGGTCACCAGACCCTAATATGCCCGTCCAAAAACACGTTTCGGAAAGCACAAACTCATTCGCTTCTCCAAAGCGTTCCTCTTTGGATAAGTTCAGTCTCTCACTTTCCTCACATGCCACGTTATTCATCCCAGCAACTGGGCGATTTCTCGCGCGATTTCTCCGAGATTTCAATGCGCTGCTTACAGCTGTAAGAGAAGCAATCCAAAGTCAACGGTTGCACCTCAGGGTTTCGCTGGAGCCATAGACAACATACAAGAGCAGAGAAGTCAACAAAAGGAGGGTTCTTTATTCTTTGTTTTTACTGTTCTACCTACGGTACATAGACAATGTGTGTGTGTGTGTGCGCGCAAAAACGGGAAAAAAATAAAAGAAACGAAAGCGACTTTGTGGGACGAAAACAGTTTAAGGTAGAAAACAATTTTGGGAAGTATTGATTCTTAACGCTCAGTTCTAGAGGATGAGCCCGAGGTATTTAGGTGGGTCGGATGAGAACTCAGTTTTTATTTGCAGCTGTTGAGCATAGATACACTCAGTGCTGCGAAACGGATATTTCGGGAGGTATCTGGATGTGACAGGTGAGAAATCCCTTCACAAGTTTCTTATGATGATTTGTACACACATTCGTGTATAACGAGTCAAAATGGTGACAAAGCGACCCCTTGGGGTAGACCAAATTTGCTCGGGCAAGTGGTTGATTATCTCCGGCCCTCAACTGGTGAAATGGTTCCGTAAAAGGAGTACATTGCGTCGTACAACGTCTGTCCCGTAGTTTACGCACCAAGAGTTTTCGACCAGTTGAGTCGAAGGTATTGCTAATGTCCATGTAGCAACCTGGGAGTCATGTTGTTCCATTCGTTGCAGACTAGACGTACATTACTGGAGGCTCTCTTAACAAATGCGAGCAGCTATCGTTTTAAAGCTTTCAGCAAAAGCTGAAATTGGACGGAATTTTTCGATGAATTAACGGTTGATGGGCTTTGGGTGCTGGATTTAGTCCCGCGATTCTCTATACGTCGGCAATAAAGGATTCCCAGAGGACATAACTGAACAACTGGTAATTTGAAACGGATATTTCTAAGATACAGTACTTTAACAACAGAGGAGACTCCCTGCCCAGCGCGCCGGCATTTTGGGTGGATTTTTTCCGAGGATGGCGTGTACGCATTTGTTCCTGGTAATATGAACTTTTCACAGAGCCTATCAGTTGGTCATCATATAAAATCTATGCTACGGCGAATGTCCACTGCTTCCAAAACACTTTCTTGTCAAGTACTTATTTCCAATGCTGCTCGACCATCACAGTGTTTCCTGGTAGCTGGTTAAGCTACGAGAATTTAGTCAAGCTTTGCGTTACCTTCATGTCCGCCCCTCAAAAGCACTGGTGTCGAAAGTTTTGCAATGTTTCACAATGGAACCAATTGAGATCCAGCCATTGCGGTCAATTTTCTATAGTGTTCTCTTCTAGAACCTCCGCTCCTGGAAAGCAACACTTTGGGATGCCACAGTATGACTGCTAGCCCACAGGTAATCAAATGGTAGAGTTTGCAAAATGAACCAGACACAGCTTAGCTGTCATAAAATGAAACAAAACTGATAATAAAATGTTAGGGATAGTGCGGACGTAAGGGAATTTAACGCTAGCTGAACAGAACCATTCTTTGCAGAAAGGGTAGGAGACACAATTCCTCAACAAGTCCCCAATTCCTTGAGATCAGGACAGTCCGGCTACCCAAATTCGAGTGGCTGATCCGTGGCACGGTTAAAGTGCATTTAAACAGATCGCTGTTCACCTCGTATTTCGGTCCAAAAGATCATATTCCTTGATCTAGTAGTGACCAGTTCTTCTCAGCTCACTTTTAAAACACCCTGCCTAATCGGGGTCCGTAGCTCAATACTTTACGAGTCCTTCCGGTAGATCAATAGCTATTCGGATAAAATATTCCGACTGTCCACCAGTTGTCGGATGATGGCCCAACTTAGTCAACAGCTGGTTCAAAAACAATTTTGCACCTAATTTAGATTCACCAGCTGCGCGAACTGATAGATGGACGCCTGGTCCGAGCCTGGAACTCTTGACCAGAGGGCTACCTTTCCGAAATCACTTTATGAGTGTCTAACGAACTGAAAGTGCTTCTGTCTTTTGGCTTTTCGCAATCCGGTCACATCTATACCCAAGCTCAGTGACTTGAAATAGTTTCTAGTCTGCAAAATCTTTTTACACTTCTCAGTCCTGATCAAAACGGATCGGCATAAAATGGGCCTCAACTGCGTTTATCGCAAATCATATAAGAATAACCGTTATTTATGCTACTAGAAATTATGATTCCGAAGAGATGTGGCCAAGATTTGATATCGTAGGCCTACAGACGTCAGTAGGACATCTCAGCCGAAGTATGGGAAAGTTAGTGAAGAAGAGAAACATTTGGTTCTATTTGGCCACATTTGAATAGAAGTCTGCACGCACGTCCGCCCAAGCTCTCACGGGCGAGACAATAAGAGGCGAAATTTACGACCCAGTCTGACCAACAATTCTGAGACCTCCACTAAGGTTATCGTATAAATCACATCATTCGTAGCCTGATAGGCTGATCGGTGGTCACACTGGACGCCGTTGTGTTCTGCTATATTGTTTCCGTGATCACCCGCAGTTTTAAAACGGACGAAAGACCGAGAAATGTGTCGCGCTAGTTCGGCGGCCTGACTAGGCCAAATACCCCAATCAAAGCTGAAGTTGCCGGACGACCTGCGTTAGTCAGTAAGGCGAGGTATGGTGGCGTGTGTAAATTTGGGTGGGAGGCGTGCGAGAAAAGACTTCTGGCGAAAAACCGCCGTTGTCCACTCGTAAATTAGTCTCTTCAACCGCGTGCGGGTTCCCGCAGATCGGTTATCAAGACAATTTAGATCCTGTTGTGTTTGTTTTGTGCTCCATGTAATTGGATCTGCCCTATGAACGGCATGTACGATTTTGCACATCCGTCCACAGAACAGTTTTCGCTGTCACTGCGTGAACAGGGTCAGTAAGTTGTTGGATGGGAATAGGTTAGGGCATAAAGCATAGTTCCAAAGCGGAAGATAAGGACTAACGATTGTCTGACCAAGCACAAGATTATTTACTATTTGCTCCCTAATCTGGGCGGACATCTAAAAAAATCCACTCGTAAATTAGTCTCTTCAACCGCGTGCGGGTTCCCGCAGATCGGTTATCAAGACAATTTAGATCCTGTTGTGTTTGTTTTGTGCTCCATGTAATTGGATCTGCCCTATGAACGGCATGTACGATTTTGCACATCCGTCCACCACAGAACAGTTTCGCTGTCACTGCGTGAACAGGGTCAGTAAGTTGTTGGATGGGAATAGGTTAGGGCATAAAGCATAGTTCCAAAGCGGAAGATAAGGACTAACGATTGTCTGACCAAGCACAAGATTATTTACTATTTGCTCCCTAATCTGGGCGGACATCTAAAAAAATCAAGCAATGACCTCTGGTTTATCGGTGAAGATTGACTGAAACAAGTATGCATAAGTTAATCTCAGGAAACTAAGTGGTCTTTTTGTGCGGCAGATATTTTAGGGGACACGAACATTTTTCGACTTTCGCTGCTGTCGATGGATGGCTTCGTGAACACGAAAATCTTCGAGGCGTTTTCACAGTTGCTGAAACACTGATATCCTGAAAAGAATTCGTACCGTAACTGCCATCTGTCCCGAGGTTGGTTCAACAAAAAAAGAATACAGACCAGACTTCTGTAGACTAATGCAACAATGGGATCGGCAGTCTAATGATGTCACTCACTGAAAATAGTTTTATGCAGCCTAGTTGCTCAATACACATTATTCACGAATCCTTTGTAACAGCGCTGTCCGACGCAGTATTTCTTCGGATCAGATGCTGACGGGCTATTTTCAAAGGAATTGTATCCATGACAGGCTTGATGATTTCCTTGACTCAGTTTACTCGAGGCTGGTTGTTTATTATACCTACAGACGACGTTTGTGGTCCAGCTCACCTCCACTTTGACTCGCGTGACTGGTTCATCAACCTTACCTCGGTGACAAGGAAACATTTGAGTCTATTTCACTGCATAACAAAATATTCTTTACTATGGTGTGAAAACTGAACTCTATAAGTCCAAAAGCAACCGAAACGGTGTCTATACTTGCAATGGTGACACGAACACAGCTAATCGCTACTTCACCACACCAACTTACACCAAATTGTCACGCCTCTCTCGGAGAAACCATTCGTAGGTCAGTCAGCCTTGAGCACCGTAGCCTGCAACAGGCCATGTTTGAGGGAAATGACACTAGGTCGCTTCTTAATTTTGTACAAAGTTCCTTACAAGGTTTATATTATATAATTCTTCACCGTCGAAATTGCGGTTTCATTTTGTATAGGTAGGGAGATATCGTTTGTTAGCTACCGTATGCAAGTGGTATTTGTCACACAGAAGATCTATTGTGCCTCAGAACTCTTGGGCGAGAACTTCTACCAACTGCCAAGCATCTGATGAAAATGGCGTTGTTCAGGGGCTGCAGTCCTTTGAACAAGGGTTTTTAAGCTCTGGGATAACCGGAAAACAACCAACAAACAGTCTCGCGTCTTCAGCGGCAATTTCAAGCACAGCCGACATACTCTGCACAAGTATATTTCAGAGTGTAGGTAGCTAGTTAATAGATTAAGTTTCGAATTGGATTCCTCGGTATTATTGAACAAACTCTGAAATATTCAAACATTCTTATTTTTAGGTATAAATATCCCAAGAGACAGAGGATTTGCACCATTCCTTTTTAAGTAGTATGACCTCAGGGAATTCGTTGAGTCCGTTAGTAGTCGATCCGAAGATCCATTAGTTGCCACCATCTCTTGACGCTGATTTTATTCAAGCGACAAAATGTTCACCTGTGGCCACATGTGTTAAAGCCTTTTGTGTAGAGGACAATAGGCAAACAGAATAGATCTGTTCGTGACATAAGCAATAGTATGTCCGGATTGGTGCTTTACATGAAGTGCACCCTTTTTGTTCATCTGTTTCTCATAAATATACCGTTCCAAGTATGCGTACGGGAAAGTTATTTGTTAAGCTGTTATCCATGGATTGAAATGAGTTTCGTTCGCCTTAAAATTCCAGATTAATGTCCAACAGACATCTGGGTCGCGGTACTAATAGTTTGGGACGATCGCTTCAAGTTTTCAATCAAAATACTAGATAACCCCTTTTTGGTGTATATGTAGGATATGTGTTGCTAAGAGCAGACAGTGAAAGGGAGAAGGCACGGAGGACCTCAATTACTGGAGTTTCATTTGGAGGTTTATTTATGGAGTGTTTATTTGCCTGTCTTTTGATCTGATTGTCATTTACGCAGTGACATCAGTAGTGGGTAGGTTTTTTGCACTGTTTTTCGCCTACTGAGGGACATTGGAGTTTGTGGTGTGGTTCTACTCCACGATTGAACTGTTTCTAATACATTTGTTCAGCTAAGCTCAGCGGACCGTTCAGTATGCTAGGGATGTTTTCAGTGGTTTGTCGAATAAGAGTTGACGCAAACTACTCAAGAAATCGGTTCACTCATAGTGAACACCCAAAAAACGAAACGGCCGTTGTGTAACACACTTATTTCAAGGTTGCTGAAAACTAGAGCTGGTTCACATTTGAGTTTCCCTCGAAGACCAAGTTGATTCACTAATGTGTGTATATCTCCACTTATGTAAAGAACCAGATTTCATGTCAATCGAACAATCAAGGGACCAATTTTTTCATTTAGTTAAAAAAATCGGTCAATAACTGAGGTCGGAAGAATGCATATAGTGAACATGAGTGTAAAATTAACATGGCAAAAGACGATTGAGGGGTGAAAGACGGATGGCCACGTTGTATCATCAAATTAGTTAAGCGAAACCGTTGCATAGCTGGCCTTTCAGGGGGAGTTGGCTTCACTGGAAGTGAAGCCAGGTCCAGCTAGTCTCATGAAATGGCGGTAAATAAATTACGTCCAGTGAAAATGCAACTACATTTCGACCATGCCAGGTCCAGCTGGTCTCATGAAATGGCGGTAAATAAATTACGTTCCCTGAATTTTGCTTTGAAGTCATTGATCGATTTATTTGTCGTCAACCTGATTCACAACACTTACACTGTGGAAGTCGTGCATGCGAGGCATTTTCTGGGATTCTTATCCAGCAGGGAAAGTGTTCTTTCGTTTGGGATTTTGTTTCGTTTTCAGTCTTCATTTGCAGTACGACTTGAGAGAAAGCCACCAACGCCCCCCTCTCGCTAGCAGTCTTACACCCAACACGGCTAGATATCCTCTCTGTTGCCTTCCATGATCAGCACCCAAGAAGACTGTCACCGTGGTCACTGGGATGTGCACTTGAAAGAAGCAGCTCAGTCTCATGTTGCATCTGGGTCCTCGCGTCACTGAAAAGATGTGCAACTTTTTGTTTGTTTTGCATGTGTGTCAGACGGTGACGTCTCAACTCTACCGTTTTATCCGACAAGAATGCCGTCCAAAAACCAGTCAATTTTTTCTTCATTTGACCTAGCAACAAACATCGTGCGATGAACCAAGTCTCAGTTCACCCGATCATTTACATTTGCCACTAAGCGACACCCCGACATTCACCAACTTCTGGAACGCACGGAACAGTGTGTCAAGATTTCATTCCGAGATGGTTACAACACGTGAGGTTGAATGCGCTCGTATTTCCTCTGGACAGCTCATCGACCTGTAGGAAATACGCTATCTTAACAAGGAGCCGATTCCGAAAGACGGTTCCCCTAGATTGTAGCGGTCACAGTTTACCGCTATAAACTATCGGGATTCACCAGTGGATATTGAGTTGGTCGTTGTTGGTTAACTTACCTTATCGTCCCTGGGACCACAAATCGTTTGATACATGTAAGACTAAAAGGGTGAGAGAAGGAATGTTTACGTCAACTGACAACAGTTTTTCAACCTGAATGGGTCCGTGAAGCTTGCTGATACTACTCTCAGCTGTTGATCTGTTCACCGAGCTTGGCAGTTGGATTGTGGCGAACAAACCAACAACCAAGCGACGCATCCGAGCTACCTAAATTCCACAACATTGCTCATACTACTCTCCATTTGTTAGTTTTTCTTGAGAGCGCTCTGAACGAAAGAAAAACTCCCCCGCGAAGAGTATCTTCCCTAATTGAGATTACTGTCTTCCGGTTTCTGAAATAAGTTGTCTACAATGGACATTATCTGAGCCAATAGCATAAAATGGGGCATGAACGAATTCCTATCAGGCGTGTTAACTAAATTTGGCGAAAATACTTGCGGTATACAATTAATACCGCGTACCCCATTCCATAAAACATAAAAGTACTAAAGAATCCAGAGGAATCTCTTATTTATGATGGCCCGCTTCAACTGAATGTGCTGCATCGGGCCGTCTCATGCTTCATTTGATAAGAGTGAGTGAAAATACTCACAAGGTTTCTGAATACTCTTTAAGGTGGTCTGGTGCAGCACACTCGATTGAACATCATAAACGAGAGATTCACCTGGATGCAGTTGAGTTTACCGTCAAGCTCAAATTCGTGTGCAAATGAGAGTAGTTGTCAGAGTATCTCTAAGTAAAGCATAAGGTTGACGGAAACGCGGGGACTGCGTTTACCGAACTACCCCCAAGAAGGACGAAATCAGTCGTGGGCTGTCGAAGTGTCTCGAGCAACCTTATGAGTGATGTGTCAGGAGGACTAGTTAACTTGTCTAAACTGAATGAAATATAAATGCACTGTTTCTGTTCAAGGCATACTAACTAAGCACAACTACTCACTTGAGGATTTAACCTTTGACTGATTGTTTACTACTCATAGTGGTAGTAGATTGCTCATCAATGATGTTTATTCGACCAGATAGAAATCGTTTGTAAAAGATGCTTGTAGTCACCCAAGAGATCTTACGAATTATTTAAGGTAGCTTTTTACTTAAAGGTTTCACTATCACATCCGCGCCAACGACTATAAGACCATCCCAATCGCTCAATTTTTCACTTGCTTCTTACATTTACTGATCCATTGACACGAAGTGGTGGTACAAACGCCCTAAAGATGATACAGTGAGTTTAAACCGTTGCAAAGTTTGAGGCCGTTACCTGGAAAATGGGCGCTTAGACAACGCTTGCGTTTTGCGACATTTTGTTGCTTGTTATGAAAATTCGTGTGGGGGAAATGTCGGGTTTTCTGCCCACCCTAAGATTTCAGTTAGGTTGACCTCCATTTCACTGGGAAGACAGGAATCGTAGAACACCACTAAAAGCGTCTCTTAGGTAATCCCGGTAGATTTCCATCTGACCGACCCAAATATATATTGTTTGTATCTTCAATATGCATCAGGCAAACCTTATGGTTTCCGGATTTGGCTGCAGATACTCAGAGGAGTTTGCACCAAAATGCATGAAGTTTCTTGTAAACTTAGTTCACAATGGGAGTCTGCGGGCAGGCAACAGAGTGAAGATTCAGACTATAGCCTTATGTAAACGTGGCGAGATTAAACGCTAGACAAAGCACGGGTCATTTTGAAGGCGTCAATGTACTGCAAAATTTTTTTATTTCCGTACACTGTCACTCTGGCTAGCTTTTACGGGATCTTAGCAGATTGTGGGACGATGCGCGTGAGCTGACAGGCAAAATCTATAAACTTCACAAAGTTTCGTTGGATTCTGGTTCTCCGTCTAGGAGCTAAACGTGTAGGTTTGATTACTGAAGCTGCACAGACCTTTCTTGCGTCACACTTGATTAAAATAATAGTTTATGTAACATTTTACGGCTATTCGATAGTTCTGGACATCTTACCGCTCTCATACTTGAGATCCACAAATATGGGATGAGTTCACACAAGCCCAGAGGATTAACGAGCACATATGAACTGTTAAGTAGTATTAAGTAGACAGGTCCACAGAAACCTCGTGAAACATGCTATGGGTATACGAAACCCTATTAAGGCCAAAACATGCTGGTTCGAACTCAGTGTCTTTTTTGAGTGACCTACAGGGCGGACTTATATTAGGCTTCAAGGCCACACATAGGATGCACAGCTTTTGTCTACCTTAGCTGATGTTTTTCAGAGCCGGCATAAAGGCCGTTGATTCTAACTTAGCTTCGAGGAAACAAGATTAATGGATCCTTCGTTGGGGTTCATTTGACGGGCAGGAGTTAGCTGATGCTCGGCGTGAAATACATACCTATCAAACTGCGAAGAATCCCGGTCCTTGGTAAAAAGCCCTCTTGTGGTGATGCACCAACATTTGAAGACTCCCAGGTAACATCATCGTATAGCTCCCTTCTCATTCCCCCCACTTTACAGTCCACCTACAGTGCTGTACTTACACACTAATTTATCAGCTTCCGCCTCCAATGCACAGCTACCTACCCCAACTCCCCGAACCATCGGTGAATGAAACTGTGGCAGCTACAACCACTGTAAGACAAGTACGCGGTTATTACGGCTGACAATGATGATGATGATGATGATAGGGCAAGGTTGAAGAGGACCTATTCATAAGGGAATATACACTCATTTCCAAGCCAATTTGGTTTTTCGAGAGACTAACCTGGAGTCCAGCTGAATCTCTCGTTTGTGATGTTTGATGTCGACGGATTTTCAGCAACCTTATGAGTAGTACATTACAAAGATATACCTACTCATGAGGTTTTCATCTTAACCTTTTCACGCCACGCCAGCGACAAACTCAGATAAGCACACAACTGTGAAGTTTGACCTCACAGATACCTTTTTAAAGTCTATTGATTTGTTGTCCAATAAGTCTCAGGTCCATTAAGAAATCCGTTAGCCAGGTTCTTGTGTCATACTCTCCTGTGACCAGTCTATCCAGATTTATCGATCCCAGTTATAATCACATTGACAATAATAAACTTGATTGTGCATTTAGTCACTCAGTTGCAAAACAAAACTTTAGCAAGGGGCATCTACTTCCACTGAATTTGCTGTACAATGGCCTCTTTATGTCCCATTTGAAGCAGTATCTTAGAAATCGACGCTACTTACGTCACTAGTTCTCACCAAACCTATCAGCAGTATCCTATCAAAGGAAATATCTTGGAGTACCATTTTAGGTAAGAGCTGGAAGTTCGGGTATTTTAAATGTTTGCCATAGCCTTGAATTTTAAATTATTCAGACAGAATTCCGCAAAAGACCTTGTTCATAACTGCGTTTCTTCCACAAAAGTTTTAAATTTCCTACCAGGCCTCATCCTGATGGCTTTAAAATACTTGCTTCATTTTGATTTGCAGGTCCAAACTCCGTACAGCGTCGTCGTGGTCGTCAAACTTACAGCCGATATCAAACGTTAGAGTTGGAGAAAGAATTTCAGTACAGCCACTATTTGACACGAGGCAAGGTTGAAGAGGACCTATTCATAAGGGAATATACACTCATTTCCAAGCCAATTTGGTTTTTCGAGAGACTAACCTGGAGTCCAGCTGAATCTCTCGTTTGTGATGTTTGATGTCGACGGATTTTCAGCAACCTTATGAGTAGTACATTACAAAGATATACCTACTCATGAGGTTTTCATCTTAACCTTTTCACGCCACGCCAGCGACAAACTCAGATAAGCACGCAACTGTGAAGTTTGACCTCACAGATACCTTTTTAAAGTCTATTGATTTGTTGTCCAATAAGTCTCAGGTCCATTAAGAAATCCGTTAGCCAGGTTCTTGTGTCATACTCTCCTGTGACCAGTCTATCCAGATTTATCGATCCCAGTTATAATCACATTGACAATAATAAACTTGATTGTGCATTTAGTCACTCAGTTGCAAAACAAAACTTTAGCAAGGGGCATCTACTTCCACTGAATTTGCTGTACAATGGCCTCTTTATGTCCCATTTGAAGCAGTATCTTAGAAATCGACGCTACTTACGTCACTAGTTCTCACCAAACCTATCAGCAGTATCCTATCAAAGGAAATATCTTGGAGTACCATTTTAGGTAAGAGCTGGAAGTTCGGGTATTTTAAATGTTTGCCATAGCCTTGAATTTTAAATTATTCAGACAGAATTCCGCAAAAGACCTTGTTCATAACTGCGTTTCTTCCACAAAAGTTTTAAATTTCCTACCAGGCCTCATCCTGATGGCTTTAAAATACTTGCTTCATTTTGATTTGCAGGTCCAAACTCCGTACAGCGTCGTCGTGGTCGTCAAACTTACAGCCGATATCAAACGTTAGAGTTGGAGAAAGAATTTCAGTACAGCCACTATTTGACACGAAGACGCCGTATAGAAATTGCGCATAGCCTCTGTCTGACAGAAAGACAAATCAAAATATGGTTCCAGAATAGACGAATGAAATTAAAGAAGGAACGACAACAAATACGCGAACTCAACGACGAGTCTTGTCGACGTTCCACTCGTGACTCTTCTCATCCAAATCTGGATTCTTCCAACCCTTATTTGGGACTTTTGCAGAGTAGCCAGTATTATAGCAATAAAAATTCTGGTGACAGTTCCGAACTGCCGGAAGCTTCCCAACTGGACTGTAAGCCACCTATCGATGCCGACACCGTAATGCTACCGAAAATACTCGGGAGGACGACCGAGCCCGGACAGCATCGCGCGGATCCGTTTAACAATGAGTTTATCGGACGTGGACTGGTACATCCACCCGGGACTCTGGTTGCATTTCAGGCAGACGCTCACATGGGTCATGCTGTCTCAGAGGAGGAATGTGACGGGCCGGAGAGCGAGGACGAAGACGAGGAATACGAGGTCGACAATTCGATGGAATCAGACGATCACGCGGTCAAAATGCAACACCGGTTTATGCGCAATGGCGTAGTACGCCACAATACTGTACTAACCACGGACTGAAATGATGACATCTGTTGACAATTGCTTGTACGCATGCCAGAGGGGCCTCTCTCACACGTCGATTCAATCATTAAAGAGGCAAACCATTTGGGTCTACCCTCGCACTAATGACCTATTGTCTTCCGCGCCATTTTGAAGACTATTACTAGAATTGTACACATTTTCCCTGTGTGCTATTGATTTCATCCTAGTTGCACTCACCCTCTCTTATCGATTTTTATCAAACATTTATTCTGTCCTGTGGCCAGTTGAACGTCCGTGTGCGATCAGTGAGTAAAATCGGTTGATTTGAAGCAATTAAGGATTTGAATGAAATCTGGCGTTTTCCAGCCGAGACACGGTATAGCGCACTTATCAGAGAGTCGTACACTGACTGCCTTAATTCACTGACTCTGATACTTTTGGTTGGCATTACAGCTCTTGCCTGTTGGCGACTTATCTTATCGCAACATTTATCCGGCGGCGAACAATTTGCTTGAACCAAAGCGAACTATCCTCAAAAACAATGTTTGACCGGCGTGGTAGTCGAATACCTGTTAATACAAGCCCTGGTGCAAAAGGAAATGAATTCTGAGCGGTCTGTTTCAACTCTGTCAGTAGCTCAGGATGAAGAATAATTCACATGACAAGTGAATGTTTCGATCGTGACCGAAACGTTCAGTGTTCAAGCTGCTAGCAAGGTCGTGGGTTGGAATCCCATGAATTTTGTGTGACGCACAAAGCTTATTATTAGAAGAAAGGAATAAACAGCTATACACTGATTCTCAGCTTTTCAGCACAGACTGAGTTTAGTTACAGGACAAAAATTCCATTGAAAATATTGCTTTACTTCCAACTGCATCATCCGTGCTTCGGAATAATACAGGCAAAATCAAATGACATGCTTTGGGTAATGTGAAAACCGCGAGGTTTTAAAATTCGTGATCATCACACCTAGCCATTTTAGATCAATGTAGGGGGGCAATGAGCAGGGAATTTGGAACCGCTCAAAGTGGTCATGAATTTAGCGAAATGCACTCAGTTGCAAGCAAATTTGGTTTTTGTAATGCACGAATCATAAGGTTGCTGAAAATCCGTCGACAGCCCACGACCGGTTTCGCCCTTTTTGGGCTCATCAGGTAGGCGCAATCCCCGTGTTTCCGTCAACCTTATGTTCTACTTGGAACCAAATTGCACGAAATTGGCGAACATACACTCATTTGCAAACTAATTTGGTTTTTCGGGAGACTCACCTGGAACCCAGCTGAATTTCTCGTTTGTGATGTTTCCAAGTAGGACAACGGCAACTCGGGGACTGCGCCTACATGATGAGCCCCCAAAAGAGCGAAACCGGTCTTGGGCTGTCGAAGAGTTTTCAGCAACCTTGTGAATAGTGCATCACGAAATCGTCGTGGATTAGCTTGAAGATCTTCTCGTTTTTTCCCTAAAAACCATTCAGTGAATTTTGGACTGAATTCCTAATTCAAAGACCTGTTGGTCAATATCCCAGTTCACGACCTATGGTGCTGTTATCACTATGTGTATAGCCGACGCGTGGACCAGTAGAAAGTGTACAATCTGCTCAGTTTTAGCTTCGGGGTTTCGAATTCTTTATCCTTATCTTCTATTCTGATTGCACTGTCATAGATGCGCATAAGCAGGCCGCATTAACAACACAGTTGGAAACCTGCTCTTTACTCAGCTCCTATGGAATCTCCGAACCCACGTTGGACTGCCAGCAATTGGTATCAGGTTTGGGCCACGTCCGTATTACTCTGTGACAAAACTTTATGTATTGTTAGACTGGGAGTCATATGAATGTATGTCATAAGCCAACACTAATACGATACAAGAAAAAATCGCTCTTCTTACTGTACTGTATTGAGGCAGCTACTGATCAGAAGGGCTATAAACGAAGTCTGGATGCGACGTAACTCCATAATAGCGAAAGTGAATACGATGTAATATTTTATTTGTTGACTTGACAAACTAGCTCAGTTTCAAGTAGAACATAAGGATGACGGAAACCCGAGGATTGTGCCTACCTGATGAGCCCCAAAAAGGGCGAAACCGGTTCGTGGGCTACGATAGATTTTCAGCAATCTTATGAGTAATGCATTAGAAGTGGCTAAGCCGTTTATTGATCTCCTGACGACATTTCGAAAAATGTTTTCGACCATGTCACAAGATCACGGGGAGCAACAACTAGATGCGCCTTATAATGTGTTTGTGCCAAGTTTTAGTTGAGGACCCACGTGCTAAAAAGAAACTTCAAACAAGACTGTGAGGAGCAGAGGTAAGTTTTGCTGGTAGCAACGACAAGTGCAAATCGCTTCTGTTTGATTAGATCAACTTTGGTCGGGACTCACAGGAGCCCCGAGAACCCTCTACGACTATGTGATTCACCCTCACAACACGTTTCGGAACGAATGTTGACGCTAGTTTTTGTCTCTATAGAGGCTAGGGTGCCGCCTACTAGCACCAACTGACCCAAGTTGAGCTGACTGATGGACTGGTCTCAGAGCCACGGATTCTGCGGAGAAATGGGACGCCAGTGAGTTGTGTTTGGTGTTCTGAACTGAGATTCCTACCCCGGAGTAAATATTGGCAGTTGAAATAGGTATTAGTCCTAGAGAACCATGTAGGCAGCTTGGTGCTACATTTAGCAAGCGAGAAACTGCAGAATACGTCGTTACTTTACCAGAGACTATCGAAATTCAGATTCTATTACACAGCAGCCAGCTGGCCATTGTAGATCCTCGCTGTTTGACTGCACACTGTTGTCAATCTAAACCGTCTGGGATACTTTACGAATGACATTATGAATGACCTTATGAATGACATTACCATAAAATGAAGATGCACAATTTCTGGCTCTTGATCACCTGCTAGAAACTGATCTTTTGTATTCAGTGAAACACTGATGTGTTAATTGTTCGATTTCGAAGCAGAAGATTTAAAGGTTTAAAAATATTTCGCGATTAGAAATAAGCTAATATGAGATGACATTGTTGGTGCAACAACATTCATATAAGGAGTTCACTTCTTCTACCACTTTTCATAATTTCCACATTCACATCAAGCTTTTTCGGAGCTTCTCTCTCCAACCTTGATATGACGTTCTGGCTACATCAGAAGAAGGACACGCTGGACTCGAGTTTTGCTTATCACAACTGCATGCGTGTGATATCGTAATGGGAAATTTTCACAACTGGCAAATGAGGCGCGTATGCTGTCACCATTCCATCGGCGCACACGATGAACATTTGAAACGTCAACTTTAGACGCTTTAACATTTTCGTGCTTGGGCAATGTTTGGATTCACATCAAATCCGCTTTTTCATACTTTTGGGTTCACAGACTGTAACCGTCGCCAATCTGCACAAATAACTATAGTAGGTCCTTCCAAACTGGCCAGCTAGAGCCTGAGGGAATTCATACAGGCCTGGGACATTGGTGGTAAAGTAAGACTAAGACAAAACTTATTTTCTACACATCCGTAGACCGAGTTCATCAAATAGTTTTGACTCTGACTCTCGAATTCTCGAATAACGCGACCGCTTTACTCAAATCTACAAGCGATAGCCCGGCTCTAGGGTTATTTGGAAACAGGCCAAATGAGAACGCGGAAACTACCAGTCTGTGCATTAGTAAAACTCAGATGCACAATGTTAGTTTGACTTCCTCAAGTTACTGCGAGATTGACAGAGGTAGGAACACAGGAGATGCACCTAGCTGATGAGCCCCATGAAGGAAGAAACGGGTTGTCGAGCAATTTTCAGTAGGCTTATAAGTAGATTGCTTTGTTAGGAAAACAATGCCTCATTTTACAAGCATATATCACCGTTCACACAGCAGCCTACAATAAGGAAGGTCATCGCATATCTATAGACGTTCATGCACTCTTACAAATCCTCAAGGCGGCTCACGGTGCTCCAGAGTATAGAGGTTGTGGGTCCGGTCAACAAGAGCAGACGTGATATAACCTAGCGTTTACTGTTTACATTCTACTGTTATAAGTCACCGAACTCATAATATCCAATGAAGGTGACCACATGATTCCATCTTCCGGTACCGTGTTAGCATCTATGGATGAAAGTTCATAACAGTCACGAAGCTGAATGAAAACGATTCCATACTTCGCTCTAGATAGAATTCACTTAGGTCGTATTATAGAAAATCTGTCGAAAAAGCACTCGAAAACTTAGATGGGCAACAAAGGTGAACAAAGTGATATCTTCGGGAGAAGATAGATGAAATCAGAATAACTGCCCTTGTGTTTAGTAAAACACGGTAGGGAACAGTATAGTTATCAGAGTGAGGGACTAAGGCTCAGGAAGTTTCCAAGCAGTAAATGCTAATCTTTGGCGTTTACAAATACCAAGGGAGAAGACCACATTGCGAAGTACGAAATTGAAGAAAAGCTAAGCAAGCGGAGACAGCTGCTAGATCAAGAAACCCTTCGAAGGAGTTGGGCAGAGAATGACAAAAAAACTTGAAATAAGCTCAACAGCTGCGCTCCTTTTAGAAAGACACTTTTCAACGTCTACTCCTCTCTCTACCACGAGTATAGTCTTTCCAGAGAGCAACACTCTGTTTGGAGACCAGTACACCAGATGCTCCAGAAGCTTATGTCAGCCATGGTTAACATGTTGGACAAGTGTCTACCACAGCTTCGTTAAAGTCGATATTTGGAAATCAATGGCTATCCTTAGGACTGCATGCAATGCCTCTCGAGTCCTATCAACATGGGTTGAAAAAGTTCACCTTCAACTGCTCCAGTACTTCTGGTTTCAGTTAGCTCGAGCTATTCAGGGATTCTTCACCATAACAGTGGTACTGTCCGAGATGGAAGTGTGATGAAAACGTAGCACTAGTTATCATCGTCTGCAAATTGTTGTACATTTTATCAATCATCAATTTGCAGGCCTCCCCACTTTGACCACTTCACCAATGATGGCCAGTTTTTCTAATGATGTAAAGTCCACGCCAAAATATGGGACAGAATGTAGAAAGTTTGG